CACCTTTATATACAAATTACTTTTTTTTTTCTTGTCAAAAAAAATTCTGAAAATTCTGACACCCACCACCCCGTTCTGAAATTTCTGGATCCACCACTGAGAAACAGTAGTAGGCCCATGAATAGTGATGTTCATATGAAAGCATCCTCAGGAGCGCAGACTCAACTATCTTCAAATCAAACCGGGCCTAGGGTGGGGCCGTGCATTGTCTTTCGACGTTTTCTGATGGACGACAATATGCGCAGTGAGGGTAGGCACACATTGTCGCCGGCGACAATTTGAACAGGACGACAAAATGTACCATCACAATCACGTTGCATGAAATAGCATACGAGACACGTCAGTGTGATTCACACACAAATTACATTCACAAAACTACCAAAAAAACAACAAAAGAAATCTTTAAGCATCATTATCTGTGGGGCGACAATATGTACAGTGAGGGTGAGGCACATTATGTCGCCAGCGACAATATATACATGTGTAACTTTTCAGCCGGCGACAATATGTACCGATGGACAATATGTGCAGTGAGGGTAGGTACATATTGTTGCCGACGACAATATGTACAAAACGACAATATGTACCGTCACAATGTGCTCCTTTTCGAAGAGATGCTCCGTTTTGCGATACCCTTGTTAAAGATCATTACTTCCCCAAATTATTAAAAAGACATAGTATTAAAATGTTTATATTTTCAAGATCTAAATGCAAAGAAAGGTCGCTGACCGACATGGCTATGATATAAAAAATTATGTAAAATTTATAATTATATTAATTGATGAAATATGAAGATAACGATCAGTAATCATGCTCAAAGTCCATTGAAACAATACAAATTGTGAGGAGAGCAAACACGGACCTCTAAAAACATCAGAGATGGGATCAGGTGCCATGGAAGAGAAAGCATCTCCTGTGACCGGTCACACCCGCCATGTGCTCCTTGCCATGACTGGGTAAACGGAAAATTCCGTAGACAATTCAGTATGAAAATAATGGCCTATCAATTTGTAATGTATTATAAGATTTGTCAATAGCTTGTCTTGGTTTAGAAATTATTCATACGTAGAACATGCTCTTGCGTAGCGAATCAACATGGAGACATAAAGTCCATTTGCAGGTGACAATGGTATACTGCTACATAAATGAGAAGTTGACAATAGAAAAACTAAAGTTAAGTTATTAGTTTGCAATCAATGTCTTTCTCTAGTGAAATATCCAAATATTGATACATTTAAAACGCTGGTCATTCTTTAGCACAATTAAAAGATGAAAGTCCAAGATTGAGTTGACACAAGGGTTTCTAGTATTCTTCGGCAACCTTACCTGATTGGTACACAGGAAATTCTTAGTTTTAACAGTTTCTTTTAAGAAATAAATCCGGAATGTTTATAATTATAACGGACCAGGATAACAACAATATTCCCAAACTTTCTTTAGAAAGTGCGGGTATAACAAAATACATATTAAAATAACTTACAAGCAGTTAGATTCAAGGCTTCTAACTGACTTGCGGCGTCGCCGTAGGGAAAATGTGCGTGCGTAAAAGATATGAGGTGGGGGTTCACACCACGTGATAAAAGGAGGGAATTAATGTTTTACGGAAATTAAATTTAGAAAACTCATTAAACTTTTCCTTTGTGATTAAAACTTCAAGTTTCACTCTCTCATAAAATTAGACAACCGGACACAGCATATACACAAACGCATCAAATCCATAAAGATCGATATTTTTCTTAGGTCAACATTATAAGGCTTTCTAGTGTCAATAAAATTGGTATGTGTTATCTGACCCTTTGCTGCAAGTCAAGACATGTATAAACATTTGCAATGTTTTATTATCTATTCCCATCAATGTCAATTATTTAGTAGTAGTTTAAATTTGCTTACAGCAAGATCCTAAAGAGAATTTACTTATGAACTTACACCAAATAAGTAAGTTGAGCTTGTTTTATTGATATGGTTGGTAAAAATGTCATTTCATGTAGCTGATACAATTGAACTATTGTTACTATTTGCTGGACATTCATTATTCATTACACTGTTGTCTGTAAAATAAAATTCTTAATAATGAAAAAAAAAGATCATAAAATCATTTATTGTGGATTTCAATATTATTAACGTCGCAGGATTCTCATAAACTTTGTGAAGTGATTTCACCCCACAATTCTATCAAAAGTTGAATTGATAAGATGTTTGAAGACTTTCAAGGTTATCAAGTTAAGACCTGCAGAAATATTTCTATTTTAAAACTTCAGTTTTATTAAAAGATTATTTTCATTTTAACTATTCAGATTTTAATTTGCAAGCAACCGATTCTGAAGGGGAAAATTAAATATTTCTATTTTAAAACTTCTATTTTATTAAAATATTATTTTCATTTTAACTATTCAGATTTTAATTTGCAAGCAGCCGATTCTGAAGGGGAAATTTAAATATTTCTATTTTAAAACTTCTATTTTATCAAAAGATTATTTATATTTACTATAATAAACGATTTGCCACCAAAAGCTCAGCGCTCTTATTATAAAGGAAGGTACTAATCGTGTTAAAAGTTCTGGATCAGAAAACGCAAGGTCAAGTGTATTTGTTAAGAATGTAGATAGACAATACTGTACACATTTAAAATTGCACGACTGAGAAATTTCCGATATACACACTAAGGGGCGTGGGCATATGGCTCGACTAATCCCCCCATGAATCATATTGACACAGTATCAATTCATTGATTTTTTAATCCCCTCGCAATGAAGGTGGAGGGCCCATGAGTGTGTGGATGAGTCAATGGGTGATAAATTACATATAAATATAAATAAAAGAACTGAAATATAAAATTAAGTATTTTAGGATTATTGATCTTTTCTTTATGTGACTATTGAGTTTTGTGCAATTGGGTTAGGAATTATTCTTTCCTCGACTCGAACTCAACTGCTTGGTGGAAGCATCAGCACTAAATGCATCATAATATTTAAAATTTTAGAGATAATGTAACATCACTTGCTAAATATAAAGAATTTAATAAAACAATGTAAACATTCATGATTCGGAAATAGCAATCCTGGCATTTATACGTTTCGACAATCATTCTCAGTGCTTTGGCCCATGTCGGCACGGTTTGGCCACCCAAACATTCCTAAAGCCGACTTAGAATCACAGTTTAACAAGCTATGAAAATAAACTGACCCTATTGCATATGGTTTTTCTCTCTCTTTCTTTGTTTTTTAAATTGAATTGTATTCTTACCAATACAAAAAATCGTGATTGCAATAATGATAATTAAATTGTACAGTTTTTTGGATGTTGAATAATGTTCTGATAAAATGATAAGAATTTTGCATGATACTGCCTCTTACAAACAATCGTTTGCTTTTGTTTTGATGTGAGAAGTGAGTGTGTTATACGTAACAGGTAGATTCTGTTTGTTTAACTTGTACATTGTAAATTGTAAATACTCTCAATTTAGTCCACCGGTGAAATTTCATAGTTAAATAATTTAATTAACATATATAGTGACACACCTTTATATACAAATTACTTTTTTTTTTCTTGTCAAAAAAAATTCTGAAAATTCTGACACCCACCACCCCGTTCTGAAATTTCTGGATCCACCACTGAGAAACAGTAGTAGGCCCATGAATAGTGATGTTCATATGAAAGCATCCTCAGGAGCGCAGACTCAACTATCTTCAAATCAAACCGGGCCTAGGGTGGGGCCGTGCATTGTCTTTCGACGTTTTCTGATGGACGACAATATGCGCAGTGAGGGTAGGCACACATTGTCGCCGGCGACAATTTGAACAGGACGACAAAATGTACCATCACAATCACGTTGCATGAAATAGCATACGAGACACGTCAGTGTGATTCACACACAAATTACATTCACAAAACTACCAAAAAAAACAACAAAAGAAATCTTTAAGCATCATTATCTGTGGGGCGACAATATGTACAGTGAGGGTGAGGCACATTATGTCGCCAGCGACAATATATACATGTGTAACTTTTCAGCCGGCGACAATATGTACCGATGGACAATATGTGCAGTGAGGGTAGGTACATATTGTTGCCGACGACAATATGTACAAAACGACAATATGTACCGTCACAATGTGCTCCTTTTCGAAGAGATGCTCCGTTTTGCGATACCCTTGTTAAAGATCATTACTTCCCCAAATTATTAAAAAGACATAGTATTAAAATGTTTATATTTTCAAGATCTAAATGCAAAGAAAGGTCGCTGACCGACATGGCTATGATATAAAAAATTATGTAAAATTTATAATTATATTAATTGATGAAATATGAAGATAACGATCAGTAATCATGCTCAAAGTCCATTGAAACAATACAAATTGTGAGGAGAGCAAACACGGACCTCTAAAAACATCAGAGATGGGATCAGGTGCCATGGAAGAGAAAGCATCTCCTGTGACCGGTCACACCCGCCATGTGCTCCTTGCCATGACTGGGTAAACGGAAAATTCCGTAGACAATTCAGTATGAAAATAATGGCCTATCAATTTGTAATGTATTATAAGATTTGTCAATAGCTTGTCTTGGTTTAGAAATTGTTCATACGTAGAACATGCTCTTGCGTAGCGAATCAACATGGAGACATAAAGTCCATTTGCAGGTGACAATGGTATACTGCTACATAAATGAGAAGTTGACAATAGAAAAACTAAAGTTAAGTTATTAGTTTGCAATCAATGTCTTTCTCTAGTGAAATATCCAAATATTGATACATTTAAAACGCTGGTCATTCTTTAGCACAATTAAAAGATGAAAGTCCAAGATTGAGTTGACACAAGGGTTTCTAGTATTCTTCGGCAACCTAACCTGATTGGTACACAGGGAATTCTTAGTTTTAACAGTTTCTTTTAAGAAATAAATCCGGAATGTTTATAATTATAGTTTATTGCAGTTAAAATCCAGATTACGAGATTATAATTTGTACTAGCTCTGTTTCTATAAAATAATTCTGTTTTAGCTTTTTTAGTTATCCAAAAAATATGGAAGAAGAAACAACTTCAGCAGAGACAGGGAAACATTCAAGAAATCAATCGAAAGTATGTTTGATACACTTTAGCTATGAGAGCAACTAAAAACAAAGAAGTTCAGTTTCTGACCTATTGACACCTATGTATAATACTTTTAAATATTCTTGTTAAAAACTACTAGTATATTATTCGTATCACAGGGGCACGATAAAGATTTTTGAAGTACTATATGTTGTGCTTTGATATCAAGTAGTCTTCTACAATCATTTTGATAAATTGATATAAATTTCTCTTGTACACAGAACTAACCAAAAGACATAGAGCTGTTGCACCTCATATCAAACGCCAAAATCAAAGGATAAAAAAATATCCAATATGCCGCAGAGCTGTATTCTTTGTCTTTCAGATTTTCAATGATCCAATATGGGGTCCAATCGAGCTGAATCGTGTTTGTGTAAAGATAATTGACACACCTGAGTTTCAGCGACTGAGATTTGTCAAACAACTTGGAGGCTGTTCATTTGTTTACCCTGGGGCTATTCACACACGATTCGAACATTCCATTGGGTATCATCTCTCTCTCTCTCTCTCTCTCTCTATATATATATATATATGTGTGTGTGAGGGTGTGTGTGTGAGGGTGTGAGGGTGTGTGTGTGTGTGTGTGAGGGAGGGGGTGTGTGTGAGAGGGTGTGTGTGTGTGTGATCGAGGGTGTGTGTGTGTGTGTGTGTGTGTGAGGGTGTGCGTGTGTGTATTACCTTTATCTATTACAGAACCTCATATCTAGCAGGACTTCTAGTTCGATCTCTTAAAGATAAGCTAAAACTTAATCCAGAATACAACATCACTATAGAGGATAAAGATATTCTTTGTGTGGAGATTGCTGGACTTTGCCATGATTTGGGTAGGATTGCAATAATTCTAGTATTTTTACAATATGAAATGAGGAAGGTTTTTTTTAGCCATGTGTAGCTATGTAATGTAATAGATGCACCTTTAGATATATTTTGTGTCAAAATATCGTCAAAATACATGAATATATTTATTAAAGATAGTGGTGGACTTTAAAATAATATTACATGTATTTCTGCAATAGGTTAAATAGGTATTCGTTACATATTTTATTAAAATGTAAAACTACGATTCAAAGCTTAGTTTTGCAAACACAATAAGTACAGTTTATGTTAATAAAGTATTGTTAACATCAACACATTCTTTATAGGTCATGGGGCATTCTCACACTTGTTTGACTTGCTGTTTATCCCTAGGATTGATAGAGAAACAAAGTGGACGGTCAGTGTTCATATGGAAATATATTGATGCATTTTGCTATGTTTTCTCAAATTGTATCTTATTGAATCGTGTGTACTTCCTTCCAATGAATGTTTTATTACAGCATGAGAAGGCTTCCATTGAAATGCTGTTCCAGATTTTTGACAATAACATGGATGTTCTTAGAAAAATCGGAGATGACGATTACGATAAATTAGACCTAGAGAAGGGTTCTAATTCTAAAGATAGGGCTTTTATTGAGGGTTTAATACTTGGGGTACAGTATTAATTTATTAAATATTGGGTGCAAACCTATAAGCAGCTACAGTGTTAATTCTTTGAATTTCAAATATAGTTTTGTGTATTGATTAGTACTTTTTCTCGAGATAAGTTTTTATTTCACCAAACGATAAAATAAAACAATTTTTAGACGAAAAAGCCAGAAAGCAAATCAGGGAGAGGAAAGGAAAAGGACTTTCTTTATGAGGTAATTTTCTCCAAAAATAAGACCTTGCTACAGTTTATTATTTTTTTTTGTGGACAGATTTATACAAGATTTTTAAATTGCAGATAGTGGCAAATGAAGAAAACAAAATTGACGTGGACAAATGGGACTATTTCTCTAGAGATTGTCATATGCTGGGTCTGAAGCATAACTTTCAGATTATGCGAAGTATAAAGCTGGCTCGTGTCATCAAGCACGACGATGGATATCACATTTCCTTTCCCATATCAGTAAGGCTCTTGTGCAAAAAATAGAATCCCCTGCTCTGTGTGATACTTTATTTCTTAAAAAAAAAAAATCAATATCATTAAGTTTATCAAAACTGTATTTAATTTAAGAATTATGTACATGTTATGTGTAAACAACATAGACCATGCACATTTATCCGTCAATTGAATTGGTTGCTTATGGAGAACATGTGTAAAACAGATATATTTATTTATCTTTTAGGAATACATGAATATTTTCGATATGTACCACGCACGCTATACCCTCCATCGCCGTGCTTACCAACATCCGGTCAACAAAGCTGTGGAATTAATGTTAGTTATGAATATGTATTTTTACTGAACGTAATTACATACATAGTTTTTTCTTTAGTTTTTGCAAGTTTTGAAATTAAAAACCCGTATTCATGAAAACTTAAGTTTCAATAAAGGCCGCCTATTTTTATCTATCTCGGGGGTTCGCGTTCGATGTAAACAAAAACAGCAAGTGCATGTGACCAAGGTCCACTTATAAATACATCCCTTCATCACTTGATTTCATAATGAAAAAGAGGTGAAGATCACGAACAGCGATCGATCTAAAAAAAATCTATAAACAATACAAATCTGTGAAGAGGGCATAAAGCAACTCTTTTCGTAGACATAATAGGTATTCTTATAAGCAATCTTAAAGGAAGGGATGAGATATTCTGCAGAAATAAAAAGTTAAATATTTATTTTTAAAATAAATTCATGACGCTCTTAATGGTAAATGACTATTTTTTATTTAAACATTTGATTGAAGATTCTAACGCACCTGGAAAATATTTACAGAAACAAAATACATGTCCCACCCATAACAAGATATTTGTTTATTCTATTTAGCTAAGAAGAAAAGTAATATAATAAGAAATAATGTAGTAAAGAGAAAAAATATAATCTTATACAATGAATTTATTCTTGACAGGATCACAGACGCACTGTGTTTGGCCGATGATAAGCTGATGTATAGGTTTGTTTTTTTACACAGTAAAAAAGAAAGAAAGAATAATTTTTTTCCATTTGATGTGTGGGATATGCTTTTATGTACCGACTTGTTTTAGGGCTGGAGATGGAAAGACCGAAATAAAATTATCAGACACCATTAAAAATATGGAGGCATACACTTTTGTCACTGATGGTGTCATTGATCGTATTCGTTTTGAAAACTTCGAAGATGAAAAATTCAAGAAAGCTAAAGAGATAATTAAGAGAATATTTAGGCGTGAGTTCTATAAATGTGAAAAGAAAAGTGGAATGGAAAGAAGAGTAAAAGATTCACGGGTATGTTATATTCATGTTTCTATGACCAAAAAAAATCGTTGAAAATGATTCATTAAATTGTTTACTTTGAAATTGAACAAAACATGAATTTTGAAGATTTTGACATTCATTCACATGAATAATTTTGAATTTTAATTAACGTATATTCTCTGGGTATAGTAATCTCAAACACAATAGCTAAACACTTAGAGATAGTGTTTATGTACTATGAGTATATCTATCTATCATATAATACAATTTTGCATGGGCTTCAAAGTAGGTCGATGTGTGGTTATAAGGTCCCATGTCAAGTTATACTGACCGAAGACACAGAAAGCGATAGCGATAGAGCTTGCGAGAGATTATTATTTTCAGTGTATGAGGTCAGTATCACTTGACATGGACCGTTCACTGAAGTCCCTAATAGTTATGTAATATAATCACTCAAAGTGAATAATCTGACACAATCCTAACCAACAGACTTGCCTGTCATTATGTCACAATGGAAAAGGTATGCTTCTAATATAATGACGTCACATTCTACGTTACTTTGGAGAGGCCATTTTTGCTTATTACAGTATAGAATGAAATATGAAGATAACCAAAAATAATCAAGCTCAAAAGTCCATTGAAACAATACAAATTAGGAGGAGAGGAAACAGAGATCTCTAAACAAAATCATAGGTGGAATCAGGTGCCATCCCCTGTCGACCGGTCACACCTGCCATATGCTCCTTGTCATGATCAGGCAAACGGAATAATCCGTAGACAATTCGGTGTGAAAATAATGGCATAACAATTTGTATGAAAAACGGCAGTCAGCATTCGAATTAATGATAGACTGTAGTTGCTGACAAGATTAATGTATCGATCACGGAATTTGCAAAATGTTGACTTTAAACGGGACTGTTGATATCCTTGTTTCATCAACTTATTTGTCAATAGCTTGCCTCGGTTCAGAAATTATTCGTATGTAGAGCATGCTCTTGTGTATCGAATCAACTGGGAGAAATAAATTCCGTATGCAGGTTATAATGGTATATTGCTAAAAATAGGGAAAATTGACGGTAGAAAAGTTGAATTCGTCAAGTTTATCACAAAGTTTTTTAGATTACTATTTACTTCTTTTTCTAGTAAAATATCCCAATTGTGAGTCGCGTGATATCACATTCTGTGGACGTGCTTTCGTGTCAATATCAGAAAGGAAAAAGGTAAAGATAACGAACAGTAATCGATCTCAAAAAAATCTATACAATACAAATCTGTGAACAGGGCATAAACACGGACCCCCCGGAAATTCCAGAGGTAGGGTCAGGTGCCTAAGAGGAGTAAGCATCCCCTGTTGGCCAGTCATGTCCGCCGTGAGCCCTGTGTATTAAACAGGTAGACGGAATATTTCGTAATCAAATTCAGTATAAAAACAAAGGCCTAACAATTGTATTAAACATGTCAGCCAAAAATACGACCCAATGGCAGGTTATATTTGCTAACAAGGTAATTATAACGATAATAGAATTTACAAAATGTAGACTTTAAACGAGGTTGTTGAAACCCCTGTAACATCAACTTATCTGTCAGTAGCCTGTCTCGGTTTAAAAATTGATCGTACTCGGAACATGCTCTTAAGTATCGAATAAGAATCGAAAAGGACGAATAGCATGTGACTTCCTTTCAGCCAATGAAAATAAAGAAAATAATATTCTTATATAATTTTATTCAATATCTATTTCTTGCTTGTGGCATGACATTATATGAAGGTAAGATATCGCTAGACAATAGAAAACGCCTATTCGTGATTTGCTTGTTTTAAAAAAGATGATGTGTTGACCTTGTTAATATTTCTTGAAAAAAATCCGATATTTTAATCTTTGTGTGCTTTTCTGGTATATGATTCAATTCTGTTTACTTGAAATCGCTTATTTTCAAGTGGTTGAATATTTCAATATATATATTCAATGGTACAAATTCATATTCTTTCTCGAAATTTATAAAAAAAATTAAATTCTTCTTCAGCCACATAATCAAATTTTCACAAATCAATATTTATTTTCATCACATTAGTACCAAACTTTACGCCGTCCCTTTGAAAGTTTTAAATAGTCTATTTTAAAAAAAATTAATTACGGCCGTTTTCAGCATCTTTTCATAATTAAACAATAATTATATGTTTCAAGAATATAATAGTGTTTCATTTTTAAGAAATTTAGATACGTGATAAAAACCCTTTAAGATTCTTCGACACCAGAATACAGACTCGGATCTGTGATTATGGATATTACAAAACACAGACTTTTTAACCACCACGTTTTACGGAAGAAAATACTGCTCAAATAACCCACTTGTTCCTTAACCTTCAATATGCCAACAAAGGAATTGACGCAGTTAATATAAGTTTATAATATTTTTATCACAAAAGGGTTGGAGTATTGTATTCCACAATATTTCAAGTTGAAGTCCACACCTTGTATTTCTTACAAAATATACATCGACTATTGCTTCCAAACTTTTTAATTACAAAAATAAACTCTACAGTGCCTAGATATCGAACACCTGAAACATAATCCTCCAACGTGTTCATGTTCTTCCTCATCATACAACTATAGTCCTGGTAAACACGTCATTACTGGTGAATAGTAAATAATGAGGACCTTACAATACTTAATTTAAAAGGGCCAAAATTTAGGGAACCCCGATCTTTCAACTGCGACATAATTTCATGAATATGATGGATTCTGTGGAAGATTGGTTGTTGAAATCTCGCATTAAGCAATTGAGGGGCGATGTGAAAACCAACTATCCTTCTGTGTTCAGTAATGCAGATGTGAAAAAGAATTAAAAAGATTACAGGATTAGTATGTACTGGCGCGCCCCAGCTGACAAAGCAGATAACAACTTGTGTCTTTGTTTGTAAGGCTCATTATTTCAATTGTACTGTAAACGTACTTTTTCCCACGGGGTTATAATCCCGCGGAATCACGATTTCTGTTTAATCCGCGGGCAGAAAATCACGCGGATTTCTTGGACTGTCCTGTATGTATGTCTTCAATACACTTTATGTACGCTGTGACAAATTTTCACGGAAAATTTGAGACGTGTAGATAGCGTAAATTAACTCACACGGAATATAGTATGTCTACAGTATTTTGGAGGAGCTGGGATTTAATTCTGCAAATGGTAATCCAACTTCTACCCATAGTTCCCTATGGAGAAAATTCTGAAAAGTCATATGTCAGTTTTAAATATATCTAATATTGCCAACAATCAAATTGATTTTATATCATCATACTTATACTGGAATCCTTAACTACATAAAATATACATAGCGGGTTCCAGTAAATGTTCGACCAAACCTCTTTCTTTACTCCTCACTAGAATATTAACAGCAGCGAAGGAGAAACTTCAGGAGTAGTGTACAACATAATATTCAAGAAGTGGTGTAAATCAAATGTGGATACTTAAAAACCCCAAGGAACTTTTAGAAAATTTGAAATCACAAAATTTTACCCAAATCAGTAACATGGAAACAAACAACTTTTCAACACTTTATACAACCATTTCCCACGAAAAATTAAAGTGTAGGTTTTTTGACATCATACAAGGCTGCTTTTAAAATAAAAATGGAACTTGTAAATTTACTTACCTTGTCATTGGTCATTTACAAAACTATTTTGTAAAAAATATTCTGATTTACATACAAGTACTCTAAAGTTGAAATTAAAAAGATGTTTTAGTTTTTGATCGACAATATATCTATGTAGTTTTTGGAGATCAAGTCTTCCAACAATCTGTCGGAATTCCCATTGGTACCGATTAAGCCCCGTTATTGGCAGACCTTTTTTGTATTCATGTGAAGCAGAATTTATTTAAAAACCTGTACACGAGAAGAAGAAAACACTTGCTGTGGCTTCAACTCGACAATTAGATATATCGAAGACGTATTATCAATTTACAATAGTTACTTCCATTCATATGTCGACTCGATATATCCAAGTGAACTTGAAATAAAAGATACCACAGAGTCTGACACATCTCTTTTATATTGGACTTTTGCGAGAAGCGCTGACTTTTACAGTCGACGACTTACTTTGACATTTAAACCTGTATTATGTACGGAGGTATGAAATTGATAAAAATAACAAAATATTAATACATGTAGTGGTTATAGGTATGGTGTTAGGGGCGCTAACATTATTTGCCGATATACAATCAACACAAGAGATGATGGGAGGCAGAATAACATAACTTAAAATATGTTTTTGTGAGGGTTAGTACCTCCTTTCAATCTGATTTGCTGAAGGAATTAAATAAGGAAGAAAAAAAAATCCCGAAAGGAAAACTTGGCAGGAGTTGGTCAAGGTGGAAAGGAAGAGGGTTAAAAATAGGGAGGTTATGGTTCCCTTCCCAGACAACGTAATATGTGCTTTGAAACGGCCCGTTATTACCTTTTAATTAATTGTTCAGCTAAATATTGATATCACAAAAGAGCTTCCATATATTGTCATAGTGTAAACTGTAAAAGTCAGCGCTTCTCGCAAAAGTCCAATATTTGGATATTTTACAAAATAAGGACGTTAATGGTTACTTAACAACAAAACTTTTCGATAAACGTGACGAATTCAAATTTTCTGTCGTCAACTTTCCTTATTTATGTAGCAATATATCTTTGTCACTTGTATATGGTGTTTATGTTCCCAGTTGAATCGATACGGAAGAGCATGCTTGATTTCTAAAACGAGACAAGCTATTGACAAACAAGTTGATGAAACAAGGATATCAACAGTCTCGTTCAAAGTCAGCATTTCGCAATTTCTATGTTCGATACAATGACCTTGTCAGCAAATACAATCTATTATTGAGCCGAATGCTGACTGAATGCTGACTGACATTTTTATAAAAATTGTTATGCAATTATTTTCACACTGAATTTATCTACAGATCTTTTCCGTTTGCCAGTTCATGACAAGGAGCACATGGCGATTGTGACCGGCCCACAAGGGATGCTTACACCTTCGTGGCACCTGATTCCACCTCGGATATTCTTAGAGGTCTGTGTTTGCTCTACTCCCGATTTGTGTATTATTTCAATAGACTTTTGACCTTGATTTCTGTTCGTTATCTCCATATTCCATTTAAATACGTTTAAACTGATGTCACATTAGCTTGCATGACCAAACCAAAGCCTGAACAGTGCTGATTTAAATGAAGAACGTTTTATTTACTAGTTTATCTGCATTATATCCATTAAATCAAGGCGAGTTTATTTTTTGTTGAACTTTTGTTGTTATTCTCGCGAGAACGTACTTTAACAAGCGATGCATTGTGGGTCCAGAGGTTACTGCGGAAAAATTCAATTGGATCAATGTGCAAAGTTAATTTTCTCTTGGCTCAGGCGTTGCTTTCAGGGCTCGCAGTGACGAGCAGCGCTTCTCGCCGCTCGCTACGCTCGCTATCATATTACATATGTTACACGGTGTGACCGTTAGTGAGGGCGGAGCAATCAAGAGAACTTTTCAACATTTTATTGTTTAATAATAAATCAGTATTAAAATTCAATTATACAGTAGTCAGTGTCAGAAAAATCATAACAAAGACCTCAGTCCTTTTAAAAGAATCCCTTCTCTTACCTCAAATACTTTTTCATTCAAATAATGAAATTTAATGGTTTACTAAATCTAAAAAAAGAATATTAGTATATAGGTTCCTGTTAAGATATTTCATCGTGAGTTGCCAGAGCATTCAAAATTATATATATGTTGCATAACGGGGAAAGAGAGAGTGTGCCCTGAACCAGTCAAGTATTCAATCTACCCAGGCCCAAGAACTCTATAATATATATATATATATATATATATATATATATATATATATATATATATATATATATATATATATATATATATATATATATATATATATATATATATATATATATATATATATATATATATTTGTCCAACAATAGTAAACAAACTTACAAACTTGCCTGGGCATCATTTCATATCTTTCACGACTACATGCATATTTAAAAACACCAATCTAGAAATACCAAGTCATTTAATTCTCATCTGTTACTACGAGAACACGGTCAAGACATCAAATTCAAGGAAGTATAATTGTCAGGAACCAGATCAGAAGACGAACTTGGGACCCAAACTAGAGACAAATGATCTACCTCCTGGGTTATCAGGACACTTGGAAACTGATCATCTGACGAACACTGAGGCTGTGTATCTTGAGGACTAAAAGCATCAGTATCGCAAAATTTCTGTCTTCTAAAAAAAATTTTGCAATGCATATATGATCAGGAACATATATAGGTCCCTGACTCCCTTTTATGATATATATATATATTTTTTACATTAATTGGTTACCCAAAAATTATTTTCTTAACTTTAGTGGAAAAATGCAGATTTCACAGTTAAAACAAATCTGATTGAATTAGTCTTTAGCGCCCTCTAAAACTAACATAAAAGCAGGGAAAGAATCTTTTATTTTTTTTTTAAATATCTGGAAAAAAAAACCCTCAAGAAAAGTATTTTTCCAGGAAATAAAATTTTGCCAATTGTTTATGTGAATATTATAATTTTAAAACCCAAACTTGTGAATAATAGGGTACACATCTGGATGTAATTTAATAGAATATTTATCAATGAATTGCCCCCTCTGCATCAAAGTAATTGATGTTTTGTGACATCCCTATATACCACACAATATTAATAAATGATCATATATGGAAGCTTTTTAAAAAAAGATATTTTTAGTGCTGCCAAGAAAACATTTATTAGCATAGAAAACTTTATTGATATGTATGCCAGGTGTATAGGTATACGTACATTTATAGTAATATTCAGTTTAATTTCTGCAATGTTGAAGTCGTATACCTCTGAGTACCGGTATATATCTGTGTACATATGTATTTATTTCAATTTACTGTTACATTTAGACTGAACGGCTACCTCTCGGTCCATTATACATTGTTTAACTTGGTTTTTCTCATTTGATATAGAAATTTATATTACAATTCTGTTTTATATTACATGTATTTAAATACATATACATGTTATAATATTTTTCTTTTGACGGTGATCTTCAACAAACTGCAATTAAAACAAAAAATAAAATTTTTGAAAAAAAAATCACAACAACAAAAATGAGATATATATAGACCTCCGCCTGCAAAATATATTCCTTTCATGAGTCCTTATAGTCCTTCAGTGCATAGTACGCAGTCTAAACAGTGACGTCACGGGAATTCGTTAAACCGATCCCCCCCCCCCCCTCAACAGTATTGTTTATTAAAAGTTGTATAAATCTGTTTTAAAAAAGAGATTACACATAAGAAATATTAATTTTCTACAGAATGTTTAAAAAGTCGGCAGTTTCCGCTGATTTTCGTCATTGAATGACGTCACATGTCGGGTCTATGACGATCGATTGCAAGTTAGTTGAAAACGAATGTAACAAGAATATATACTGTAAAGTTGTTTTTGATTATTGGAATTGATAAAACTTCATTAACGCAAGATTGGAATTAAAATTACGATTCACCAGCATCTCATTTATGCGATATTTGTTGCGAGATTCAAAATGGAAAAGACTACGGACGCCATATTGGCGACAAGGTTCCCAGTTCCATAGGTATTTTAATAAAAATATAGTTTTCAAAAGAATTCAATATATTTTACATATGTACGTTTTACCTATAGGGAGAGCTTTGCTCTCACGGGCCCGAAGGGCATGTGAGAGGGCTCCAACGTCTATAAATTATTTCTTTACTACAGAAATGCATCTATATACTTTGCAATGTTAATGTTGTGGAAATATAAAATACATCGATCCAATAATAATTGATCGAATTTTGCTCTGTGAATAAGCTGTCTCTGGTCTACATTTCTTCAAACGCATTACATAAGTTAATGTTGTCTTTCATTTATTCATCAATAAAATTGCTATTCAGAAGGCAAAGGGAGGAGAGCTCACAAAAGATCAGAAAATAATTCATCAACTGATCAAGAATGAGGACATTCATGTAGAGGTAAAGCAATCATGGTATTATGTTGGCAGTAAAGAAATAGTCTTTCTTCTCTAGCATAGATGCATATTGTGCAAATATCTCAACTATTAATTTTGCAGCTGACGGTTATTTTTGCAATAATTTCGTAGAATAAAATAATCAATTAATTTTTTGAGAATGATTTTTTTTGTTATAGCCTGTTGTTTTCAATTACGGAGCGAAAGAAGAAAACCCTATGGACAAAGTTTACTTTTATCGCGGCGATGCTTCAGATAAACCAACATATGACGAGGTATCATTTTAATCCAGTAGTGACTTTGAAATTTTTTTTAGTGTTCTTAGACCATTCATCGGCCAAATTTCCTTAAATTAATGTGTATACATGTGATCTGTTGGTGTTTTTCCTTTTCTCTCTGTAAATCGTCATGACTCACTATCACTAATAGACAATCTTTTCTTCCATTCAGAAATCTGACATGCTTCCTAGCCACTTTCAGGAAACGTATTTACGCATGTACTGGAAAAAATCCTCGGAGGAAGGAAAAGAAATGGCAACGGGGGTTTTTAAAAGTCTGCACGGTAGGCCTTAAAACAGAATCAACATTTTATTAAGAAAAAAATCCACAGTAGGTACAGAGGCATAACAGAATTATATATATATTCAATAAGAAAAGTTATAGAAGTCGTTTCCAATTAAAATAATCTCGTTATATTTTCATCAAATACTACGGACAAAACCCATGTGTTTTAATTCCGAATTTTATAGGATGTGCATTTGTGTACGTGTCATCTCCTTTTCATTATTATTTTTAAATATGCGATTAAGATAAGTGAATTTTAATGTCGGTCTGAGATAAATATATCCGTCTCTACCTGATAGTTTACTTGCAATTAAGTAAAAGTTAAATGTAAAAAATTAAATAATTTTTCATCAAAAATTAGGTCTAAATGGCCGATACCCTGTGTTGAAAATGAAATATATAAACTCAATATTTACACCTTTATACAACTAGATTTTCTCAATGTTCAAAAACCATTTTTCATTAGTGTATAAAGAGTCCTTAATGAAATACTAAAATATACAATAACCAATCTTACAAAGACAAGAAAATAAAGCGGACACCATCCTCCATGCTTATTATGCTTATGTGATCATTTTTTTTTCTTTAATTAAGTAAAAACGTCAGAGCTTTTGAAGCAAGGATATAAGCAATTGACTGTTGTCAATACACTGAGCAGATCAGAATCTAACCCATAAATGGATTTTTCTTTACATTTGTCTCAAAATATAATAGTATATTTAAAGCAAGTTATAGTTATATTATCTTGTATCTTTAAGTTAAAAACACATTCTGAATTAATATGACAAAATGCACAACAATAATTTTATTATTTAACTATTTTATAGAACTCAACTTGAACGGAAAACAATATTTCTTGTGAATCTGTCAGTCAGTCGTGAGAACGTCAGATTGAAATAAAGGTTATCTCGAGCTGATATGGGATACAATAATAAAAAAGCACGTCATCTTTATGTTATCATCTACCAGTATATGCACTTGTAATTTTCAGTATAATTTTTGTAGTTTTTAGTATGACATGAATTTTGAAAAAACAATGACATACTTTTTAAGATTCTTTAATTGTATCTTATGGTGATCTTTTATGATTTATTGTAGTCATTCTTAAATCAAATTTTTACACAATTTTATCTATGTATTCTATGCACAAAGTTATGCATGTAATTCTGATATATTATCATATACTAGTAAGTATATATTGCATTATTTCAATTATTTATAATTATGCTTGTAATTAGAATATTGGACATTTTCAACATACATAATTTAAATTACTCAATGTTATGGAGTGTTTTGTGTATGCGTTTTGTGATAGATATTTATTAATACTAGTACGTAAATCTGTGATAATTAATCATCCTTTGATTGCACAAAGTTATGCATGTAATTCTGAAATATTATCATATTCTAGTAAGTGTATATTGAATTATTTCTATTATTTACAATCCTGCTTGACTTTAGAATATTTCATATTTTCAACATATATTTTTATTACTCGATGTTATGTAGTGTTTTGTTTATGCATTTTGTGATAGATATTTATTAATACTAGTACGTAAATCTGTGATAATTAATCATCCTTTGATTGCACAAAGTTATGCATGTAATTCTGAAATATTATCATATTCTAGTAAGTGTATATTGAATTATTTCTATTATTTACAATCCTGCTTGACTTTAGAATATTTCATATTTTCAACATATATTTTTATTACTCGATGTTATGTAGTGTTTTGTTTATGCATTTTGTGATAGATATTTATTAATACTAGTATGTAAATCTGTGATAATAAAACATCCTTTGATTGCACCTTTTGAAGATCTTATGATCAACAAGTTGGTTGTACATCTTTCTGTGAAGATATAACACTGTTCGTGTTCTCCGGAACCTTTATAAAATAATCTGATGGGGTACCGTTGATATTTTTTAAGCTTGTCTATGAAATAAAGGTAACTAAGAAATATAATGCAAATTTCCAGAAAACTACGTACTGATAATTTTGTGAAAATGTAAATTCAGAAAAAAATAAGATGCATAAACGTCATAAGTTGAATACAATTATCCAATTTCATGTATACACTGACAACTGACAAAATGACAGCTTTCATAAGTAATTGAATGACAAATGTCATAAATAATTTACATTTAAATAGAACATAGATATTGAGCTCCAAAACTTTTTATTGAAAGGTTAATTAAATACTAATAAACTGAGAAGATGCTCTATCACACAATTTTTGTCTTAAGTGAAATTATAAATAGTTTCAAAAATATGATTTTACTTTCTACATAACAGAACCTCGTGAATCAGTAATCATTCATATGAATAAATTACTGTTAAAGCTAAATGCAATAAAAATATGAAAACATATAAAATTTAGTACAGAAATGTAGACAAATTACCGTATTATTTCATGCGTCTCAAACTCATGTAATTTTAGTGTAACCGCTTTCAATTCAAAGGAAAGGGGTTCCCACAAATCACACCAGTGTTAGACGTACGAATATCGATGATAACTTGAAATTGAAAATGTGTAATTAACGTTGTTCAAGAAAACGATGGTATACAACTAAATGGAATTGCCTGATTTACAAATCTCAAATTCTTTAAGATAGAACCGGATTCAACGGAAAATTAGAACTAGAGTAAGATGCAATCAGGCCCCCCAAGGGTGCTTTGGAATATATAGGAAATTTAAAAAAAACTTTTTCCTCAAGGACTACTGATAATTAATCATATTTATATGCAAGTATCTTCATGCAGGCAGGTAATGGTGATTTAAGTTTGTTTCAAATAATGGTCCATCGGGTTGGGCGGGGTCATAATGAGGGTCTTTTTTCTTTATATAGGGACATAGAGGAAACACAAATATTTTATGAAAAAGCGCAATGTGATTCAGGTGAGCGTTTTGTTCCATGGGTCTCTTGTTGCATTCCATTTGACAAAATAATGATGTTAACTACACTTGATTGATTATTTGATTAATTGTTGTTTTACGTCCCTTGCGAGAATTTTTCGTTCGTACAAAACGTCATCATATACCGGTGAAGGGCTTCAAATTTAGACTTTTACTCGGCACTCAGGCCATTGAGCAGTGAGGGTTCTTTATTGTACCAACGCCTGTCGTGACACGGGATCTCGGTTTTTAAGGTTTCATCTAAAAGATCCGTGACTTTAACATCTAGTACCGGGTTTGAGCGGCGCCTGGAACGAAAATTGAACCCTTACTTTCCGATTAAGAAGCGAGCGCCCTACTACTAGGCTACCTCGATCGGTTAAACCTACGATTGTGAGGATTATATTCAATGCATTTTACATTATGTAGGTCACATCAGTCCTCAATACAACCTTTTTGGAGAAAATTTGTCGCAAGCTATTACGATATCGTAATTCACCGATTATCGACAATTACATATGGACATAAATATAAATACATAAATATAAATGTACACCTTATTTAACAAATTAACAGGTCATATGCAGCCTTAAACTGCTTACACAAATCAATTTCTCACATGAATAGGTACAATGACCTGAAACTTCAAATATTGGGGAAAACATGAAAAACCAAAGCTTAAAGATATACATTTCAAAAAGACACACTGTACTGCTTCAGAGTTGAAAAGAATATATTTCAATGGTGTATTGTTACATCTGCTTAATGATGAACGAAAAGTTTATTATAAACAAAGAATTTTTTTTCAAAATTGAAAATTAAGAATATTGAATTAGAGTTTTAAAATAACATCACCCAGTATATATGTTTTTATATATTTCTTCCATACATTCTATATGTGTTAACAAGAAGCCCATGGGCAACATGCTCTCCTGAGTAACCTTGGTCCTCCTGTTCCTCACAAGATTTTAAAAAAATTATCCCCCTTCCAATTTCCTTGAAAAATTTTGACCCGGGTTCCACGATTTGAACAAGCTTAAACCTGCACTACTTGGAGATGCTTGTATACTGATATGACTAGCCCTACAATTCTTATAGATCTTTTCTATATGTTTCCACGTGAAAATTTAATCCCCTTTTGCGTCTCCATCTTACCCCGGGTCAACAATTAATACTTATGTACAACATTAAATTTGCTTTACCTGAAGATGCTTACATATTCATATGACTAATCATAACTTTACTGACGATATTTTGAAAGATTTGTTCGTATATATTTTGATCTCATATCGTAGACCCACATAGCTCAGGGGCCATAATTTGTAAAAACACTATGCAAGTAGGCTTTCACGTAAGTTTTATATCCTGTTTGGCCCTGTGGTTCTTGAAAAGATCTTTAATAATCTCACTGATTTTGCATTATTTCTTGTTCATTAATCATCCTCTTCAAAAAGAAGGTTTAGTCCTTTATTTGAACAAACTTGAATTTCCTTTATCTAAGGGTGTTTTGTGGCAACTTTGAAACTGGTGAATATTGTCTGATCCATGTGAATTCTGGCTCATATTAAAATTGTTTCTTAAAAAAAAAAACCAAAAACCAAAAAAAACAACAACATAAAACTGTGTCAAAAACTCATATTTAACCACATACATATAATACATGTTAAGCTACATTGTAAGAATATTCGGACGATAGTAATATCACTAGAACTTCTTCAAGTACGATTGTGTACGATATATGGTGAACTCACCCTAAGTCCCTTAACTTTTTCTTGATATTTGTATTTTAAAATGTAAGTAACGTTAATGGTTTATAATGTTAATT